GGTATAGAGCATGTTGCAGTAGCCATTTTGATAGATGGAAGATTCTTACTATCAATCAGATCAATCATCTGGGACAACTACTTAATTGCCAAAATATGTGAACTATTATCTTGGTATGCTTTTTTTTTTAAACTATGATCACACGTTTCCACTACAAAAATTAATATTAATTGTTATGTGTTTCCAGGATTCAGTATGATGCAAAGTTATTATTGAACAGTTCATCTATAATGATTTTAATATACCTGTTCCTAGACTTGCAAATACAGAAGACCAGAGTTTTGGAACACAAAATACAACCAAATTAGATAGTTCATGGTTCAATGTAACCTTGTAAAGTTGTTTATGGTAGTTTTTTCTGCAATAAACTTCGTTAATTTAGCCTTCCTATTTGAATCTTATTCATCATTGTTAACATGACTAATTTACATCGGTTTTTCATTGGTTCATTTTCTAGCTTTTCAACACAACAATATATGTACATGCATGTCTCTATTTCCATTCATGTTTAGATATGCAAATGAAAAACCCCAAAACCATTATATTATCCATCCTTTTAAAATGTAAGTAAATTAAAAAAAGTCAAATTATAAGCTGACATTTAATTGCAAAGTTCATCTTTTCAAAATGTATAAGAAAAGTAAAACCGAAATTAATATTCAAATAACAAGAAAGGTAAACAGGAGACAGCAAAAAAAAAAAAAAAAAAAAAAAAAAAAAAAAAAACAAAGCACTTGATTTTACCTTGAATTTCTAAACATGTTCTTGAACAAACGAATGTGTAAGCTACAAATACCCTTTGTAGCTGTTTTCTTATAACAAAAATAAAAGATTAAATACTTATAATATAATCAGGTACAAAATACAAATAAAACACAAGGATTGTACTAATATAAGCTAGAAAATAAATAAATCAACCAAGCCCAGAAAAATAAGCCCACAAACAATTAATATATTTAAACCTACATTCTTTTCCTCACTTCAAATAAGAGTATAAGCCATACCCTAATCCATATTGTTTAAAAGATCGAAATAACAACACCTGTATTCTCTTATATCGAAATGCATCTTCTTATTGACATGTTACCCTCATTCTCCACCAAATGTTCAAGGAATCGAGAAACGATCTACTATTTACACTCATAGCAGATCACAATTGCATTTCCACATCCACACTCCCGTTCTTAATCGACAATGTTGTATGTACTATTCCCAACCCTAAATAAACGTTCTTCACTCATAAATGTATCTACTTATATAAATTCCTTGCGTTTTTGAATCTCCAAATAGTTAATAAGAGCATTTGTAATGTTGGTGAACATGATTCTTCATCACATGAGATATATTTCTTCTGCTTGCATTAACTTCTTGTTTTGATGTGCTGTTTCATCAACCATAGATTTTACACTTCTTGTCTTAATGTATTGTTTCTTTAACCACATATTTTACATAAATGTTTGAACTTCATGCTTTTATAAAATCTTATTGATGATGGTTCCATCTACTATATATTTTAGGGTCAAATATTCCCAAACATGCAATATACATAGATCGTATGTTCTTAAACAACTTTACCTTTGGTTCTTTTCTTAAAAGCTTTTGCTTTCACTTGATATAGTATAATATTTATGGAAACATAGTCAATAATATATGCATGCATAGATTGTATGTTGGTAAACAATGTACCTTTTGTTATGCTCTTAAAATGTTTTGATTTTTCTTGAAATACATTAATATTTATGGAAACAGAACTAACAATACAACGACATGTCTATGCATTCATCACAAAAATGTAGATCCTAATTGCATGTACAATTTTGTTGAGCAAAAACACAAACATCACATGATCTATGTTGATGCACCTATTAAATCGTGTTTTTTGTTTCCTATTCACAAAATAAAATTTGTATCTCCTTAAGTCTTACTCTTATTGAGTATTGATTATGTAAAATTTGTATTCACACATTTCCTAATCTGTCATTAGTTCAATAGATAAAGAATCCAAAATCTGATTCATAATGACAAGGGAAATTTGAGACATTTTGGACATCACGTGACAACTAAACAAAAAATGGACTATGCTCATTCAAGTATTGGCAACTGGCCACATTCAACTTAGCAACGCAAATAGTCTGTACAAACGACTATTATTTGTGGGCTCTCAGGTGCCCATAATCTTCTAGTAATTGCTTCATACAATAATCATACTTCGTAAAGCTATTACATTGATTATTTCCTTCTCATATCTAAAATGTACACGTAAATATAGGGAAGGAAGGTAAGAACATTGATATTCAGAAGTGACCAACTATAAGCTCATAAGTACTCCTTCCAGTTGTACAATAGATACTACATATCTAATGCTGACTTAATAGGTACAAAAGAACAATTTCTCATCAGTGCATATCCATATTCATGGGTAATAACCGGTAGAACTTTGATTAAACAACATCCTGACTCTGTTCCACCGACACTTCCATGTAAATTTCTGTTTACTCCTTTTAGTAAACTCTACAAAAATGCGAAGACAAATAATTGTCAAGGTACAAATAAATTTTAATTCAAAATATTATTATCACAGTTTATATATATATATATATATATATATATATATATATATATATATATATATATATATATATATATATATATATATATATATATATATATCGTTATAATCCTGTGAAACAAAGATATAAAAGGCATTCGAATGCTTCGACACCCAAATTCTCGAAGATAGGGAAAAACCAACAAAGAAAAGAGATATAGTCGTTGTGAACCAAGAGTTCGTGAACGAACAACAATTCATTTATTCTAAATACCAACATATTCTATACACTACTCATCAATGCTATTGAAAACTAACACTTCTAAACTTCTATTGCACATGAAAAAACCCATGATAGTTACACTATGGAATGGTTATGCTGATGATGAAGGTTCAAACCTATAGAACACCATTCGAACAGCTCCAATAATATATGGACTGAAGTTAAAGGTCACTACCTTTAATGGTAAAAAAGAATATCCTACACACATATGAGTACATATATAACCAACAGAAGACGAAAATAATGATCATTGTGAAAGCGTATAAAGAGAAACCAACTGTACAATCAGAAGAACCAGATGTTGTGATCCATAGAGAGAAAGAAACTGTGCAATCAGAAGTAGGTAACCTAGAAATGGATGGTGCAAAACAAATTACTCAAGCCTCTGAACCAATGATAGGTATGGAAAACCACCCTCCAATCAACATGGACATCCAAATGCCAAAAGAAAAGAATATATATATATATATATATATAATATATATATATATATATATATATATATATATATATATATATATATATATATGGGAAAAGTGAATATGTGGTTGTTATGTACCTAAGCTTAGGTATATAATCTTTTAAACGATGTAGTTTTAAACAAAACAAATCCAATTTCATTTTCTCCTAGCTGTGTTTAAATAGAATATCATTAAATTAAGTTCAATTATGGAATGAAAAATATCAATTATATATACTTTTATTGCAAAGAATTATTGAAGTTTAGAGAGAAAATAAAAAACTAATATTTTTTAACGAATATAACTCAAGCGTTTTGTCTTTCAATTGAAAAACTATATCCAATGATTTTGTAAAAAGCTTGATTGAGTTATGACATGTTCTTTTATCTTTTATTCTATTAATTTAAAATTTAGTAGGGTTAATTAAATGGTCATAAATTTTAATGATATAAGTTCTTAGACACAATGAAGAAAAAGAACATAAATTTGATCGATTTAGTAAGTCACATGATTAAAGAAGAATATTAAAAGAGATATGATAATTTGTTTGGATATAAATTGATCAAAACTACATTATTTGGAGGGATCTATATATAAGCTTAGGTACATGACAGCCACATATTTCCTAAGCCATATATATATATATATATATATATATATATATATATATATATATATATATATATATATATATATATATATATATATATATATATATATATATTATACAAATCTTTTACAAAAATAAAAATACCAAAAGTCATTATTTGAAACTAACGCATTACAAAAAAAAGTTAGAATTTTTTTTTAAGATAGTTCATATGCATATTTTTTAAAATGTGAATATTCATATTCTTTTTTGAACATGCATCAAAGATTTATTTTTTTCAATAAATCATTTTTTAAATATGATTTTCGAAATATATACAATAGTTTCGCTAAAGTAAATAGAAAATGATTTTTATTATTTTTTTTCTACTTCTACGAAAATTTAGTATATATTTCGAAATTAATATTTAAATAAAGACCTTTAGAAAAACATTTTTTTAAGCATATTTATATTTTCTATGAATATACACACTAAAAAAAAATACGCATTTATACATGTAAAACAAAAATAATAACTTTTTTTTTTACATATTCATTTGTGTATGTGCAACGCACCACATGCATACGTATATGAAAACTTTTTTTTTTTTTGGTAAATTATACCAATCGTCCCTCGTGCATATGTCAAAAAGCACGTTCAGTCCCTATTTTCAAAAATTAATTCAGACCGTCCCTCAGCGTGTTTTTTCTTGCACGCTTAGTCCCTCAACATATAAAAAGACAATTTTACCCTTATTTATTTGTTTTTTGATTTATTTTATATTTCTTTGTTATTATTTATTTATTTATTGATTTTTTTATTATAAAAAAAATTATTTACATCCTTTAAGAAAAGAAATGGACCCCAAAACGAATCACCTTCATAACCTGTCTCTTCCCCCATTCTTCTTCATTCTGTCTAATCTCCACCATCACCACCAACACCAATCACCGACATCACCGTCAACATCGATCGCATCCCTTAAAGGAAAAGAAACCATAAAAAAGAGAAATTTAATTGTTTGAAACCAAAAAATCCTGCAACTTAACAAATCTACAACTTGAAACCAGAAACGATGAAGATGCGAGGGTTAATCTGCAACTTGCTACTAGGTTTTACATGTTTAGATCACAAGGGTCAGAGAGGGACGACTTATATACCGATGTTTTGTTTTCCTCTGTGCATTTTATTTCCAATCGATTTGAGACCCATATCACTGGAGAAGAATTGCAAGATGATCTAAAGTGGGGACATAGAAAGCTTATCGGAGAAGAAGAAAAAGGGAGGACAACCACACAGGAGCGACAACCCATCACCACTGGAACAAACCAAACCTTGTTCTCATCCATGGCTATAGAGGTAACTCAAGTGGCAATTCATAATGCATGTATCTCTACTGACATAAAATTTCACCATACCAGATCTGGTGTTTTTCACCAAATCGTATTCGATAAGGACGGAGCTTACAGAAGTGTTTCAGGTGAAGTGCGTGTGATGTGGCATGAAGAAATTAGGGTTTAATTGATTTTTGGTGTATATAATTAGTTACAGAGGTTTGTGGTGTACTAGATGGCGGATATGGATGAGAAGATGGTGGAGAAAGTGATGCTTGTTAGTAGTGGAATTGGGTATATAGAAGAGCATAAATCTAAGTATCTGAAGAAGATTGGGCGGAATGTGGCGGAGATTTTGGTAGCAGAAAAATCAAGAGAGGGGGGAGGAAGAAGCTCGATGACGGATGTGTTAAATCAACAGTCGCCGGTGGTGATGTTATTTTTGACATCAATAAAGCAAGAAAGTGAGGTGGTGGTATGTGGTGGCGATCAAGCGGGTTTCCGGCGGTCGTTGTATCCTCGGTGGCCGAATTTTAGTTTCAAATGAAGGTGAGGGACGATGAAGAGAGGGATTAAAGACTTAGGGTATTTGTTGGTAAATGGGATGGGGGTGATAGGTGTAAATGTTTAGAAATTATTAATAAATGTAAAAATAAAGGATTATAATTTATTTTTTGTTTTTCTTATAAATACAAAATAAACCAATAAGGGCAATATAGTCATTTTATGTGAGGAAAAGGATGAATTGTGCAAATTTAAACTAACGAGGGATCAATCGTGCAAGTTTAAACCAAACGAGGGACGGTCCGAGTTAATTTTTAAAAATACAGACTGGACGTGCTTTTCGGCATATGCACGAGGGACGATTGGTGTAATTTACCCTTTTTTTCGTATGCAAATATTATATTGGATATGAATTTTTTTATATGTATATATTATATTGTATATGCATATGCATATGCATATGCACGTGCACATGCACATGCACATGGACATGCATATATGGAAAAAAATTATTATTTTTCATATGCATATATTATATGTGCATATGCACCAGGGCAGATCCAATTTAGAGTCTGGGATACCGTTCAAAAAATCTTCAATAGTGTAATTTTTTTAGAATATTTGGTTTTATGTTGCTGACCGTACGAGTTGATCCAACTCTTGACTCGAACGAGCCACAAGAGAACGAATATAGAGAGTGATTTCCATGAGAAGGAGATGCACATGAGTGATAACGAAAATGTTATGCCTTCTCCGGCTGCCTCGTCTTCCATTTAGAGAGTAATATTAGCAGGTTTGGTGGTTGCAATAGAAGGTAGATATGAAGGATGGGTTAGCATAACGATTGTGGTAGCATGAGAGATGGGGATTAACCATTTAGGTTTAGGGGTTAGTGGGCTGGGCTTTAGTTTTAGGGGTTCTTTTATAGGTTATATACATTAAAAATTAATTAAAGAGTCCATAGCTGCGTGTTGTACGAGTATGACTTCCAAAACACAAAGATTTAGCCTTTTTTTTAATTATATAACCTTAAAATTTTAAATTATATATAATATATATAATAACTCTTGCACAAAGATTTAGCCTTTTTTTATTATATAACCTTAAAATTTTAAATTATTTATAATATATATAATAACTCTTGCTAAAATGTAATATATATATATATATATATATATATATATTATATATATATATATATATATATATATATATATATATATATATATACTAGCAGTGCACCCGCGCAAAGCGGCGGAGCGTGTAAATTCTTTCAGTGATATGTTTCCTCTACAAAAATGTTATGTTACAAAAGAAAGTACACGTCGAAGACAAAATAATCAAACTATGGTGTTATCTGGGAAATGAAGTCATTTTTTGTTCTTGGATGGTGGACTTTATAGTAGATGAGGGAGCAAAGAGGTATATGCGATTGGAGGGATATTTGAATCAACATGCTAAATTTAACGATATTTAAAAGGGTTCAAAATTTGAATGAATCCGAGATTTGAGGAAACCATATCAAATTGTTGAGAAATATAAGGAGATTTGATGATAAATATTTGAATTCAAAATATGGTTAAAATTTAATATTATTTTATTAATGATTACTTGTACTATCAGCTTCATTATTTGGACGTCTTAAAAAAATATTATTATTATAATCTATCTATTTTTACAAATAGTTAGATTTCTTTTATAAGATAGTAAAGATATATATATATATATATATATATATATATATATATATATATATATATATATATATATATATATATATATATATATATATATATATATATATATATATATATACACTACAATTCGAATCATGAGTCGACAACTATGATTGCGGTAATAATCCGGAAAAAATGGGCTACTTTAAAAAAAAAAAAAATAGGATACCCTTTCATTATGACTCTGGCTCCACCAATGATATGCACATGTATACTTTGCATATGAATATGCATATTAAAAAATATATTTTTTTATTTTTAGATAGCATAAATTACGTATACATATATTTTATATGTATTTGCAAATTGAAAAAAATAATTTTTTTTTCTTTTGCATATACATATGAATATAACGGATATAGAGATATTAACAAAAATATTTTGTTTATGCATTTTATATATATATATATATATATATATATATATATATATATATATATATATATATATATATATATATATATATATATATATATATATATATATATATATATATATATAGACACGCGTTATGTGCATATGCATATGGATGTTTTTCTTTCATATTCTTATAAAGTCTGCATATACAAATAGACTACATGCACCTAAATATGAAAAAAAATATTATATTTTCAATAAGAATAAAATGTATGTAGATATGTTTATATGTTAATATACGCTATATGCATATGATCTTCTACATATGTATATTGCATATACACATATGCAGATTGCATGTGCTGATATATATATATATATATATATATATATATATATATATATATATATATATATATATATATATATATATATATATATATATATATATATATATATATATATATATACAAGTAAAAACTTTTATCCATATGTAACTTTGACATCAAATTTCACATTAATATTGGGTATAATATAGGAGTGGAATTGGTAGGTATCAATTCATTTTTTCACTAAACCGAGTGACGTACCAATTATATTTTGTACAAATATTTTTTTACCGCTAACGTACCAAGTATAGTTTGTACCAACTTGTTTGGCTACCATCAAGTTTTGTTGGCACAAGTTAGTAATGGAATATACCAACATGTATAAGGTGTTTGGTTAAACTTCAATGAGGGGTTTGTGAATAAGAGTTTTGTAATGGTCATGTTTGAAAATTCAATCCAAAAGCGTTGGAGGAAGGACACGCCAATATAAGTTTAAAACTTTCAACTTTACTAATTTCGTAAATGATAATATAAAAGCTTATAAATAATGAGTACCAAACATACTAAAATTTTAAATAATATATATATATATATTTATATATATATATATATATATATATATATATATATATATATATATATATATATATATATATATATATATGCACTAGCTTGATTGGTATGGTACTAACGTGGTGTTGAAAACTTTGTACCACTATTCTACCATTATTTCACAATTGGTATGTTACTACCAACTGAGCATGTAGTTTACTAAACATATTGGTTATCGATACTTTTGGCTCGGTTGGTAACATAGTGGTTGGTATTTCATAATACATATTTGGCAGCTCTAGTATAACACATGTAGGAGAATTAAAAAAATAAAAAAATCTACTTGTATAAATGCATATTTAAAAAAAAAAACCATATGCGTAACATGTTGGTTGGTTTTTGAAAAATTCTTTTTTAAGTATTAATTTCGACACACACACACACATAAAAAAAAAATCTACTCTGACTCGGTTGATAATATGTTGGTTGGTTTTCGAAAAGTTCTTTTTTAGGTATTAGTTTCGACACGCGCACACACACACACACACACACACATATATATATATATATATGTGTGTGTGTGTGTATGTATATATATATATATATATATATATATATATATATATATATATATATATATATATATATATATATATTATATATATATAGAGGGAGAGAGAGAGAGACAGAGAGAGAGAGAGAGAGAAAGAGAGATTGAAAATAAAAAAGTGATCTTAAGATTTAACCTCAACCACATAATTCACATATGCTGCTCTAATACTCTGACGTATTGGCACGTCGGCTCTGTTATAATCATAAATGATTATATAGCGCCGCTCATTCCATTCATCTTCGCCACCTTCTCCACCACAATCGCCACCACCGCTACCACATCTACCACCAGCCGACCTCACCCCTGCCTCCTCCGTCACTTATACCATCACCACATATTCTGCCACCAATGTTTATAATCATAGGTGATTAAGCATACCGAGTTGCTGCCGATACAGTCGAGCGTTAAATTGACAAATGCGACATATGTGGTTGAGGTTGATTCTAAAGATCTCCATTTTTTTAATCTCGACTGAAACGCCCCACATACACACACACATATATATATGTGTGTGTGTGTATATATATATATATATATATATATATATACATGGAAAAATTCAATAGAGAACCATTATTAATTAAGGAATCAATGAATAAATCCAAAGTGTCGAAATTTTAAAGCGATCAACCACAAAATGAAGGTTTGTAGACTTTTACAGTTGACGCACATATACAAAATTGTAACAAAACCATTTTTTTAGTTTAATTCTTTTACGCGATGTTTTTCTATCGAAAAAAAAAAACCGAATTTACTGTTAATGATTTTTTGTCATCTTTCCATAGAGATCTATATTATTATATAAAAAACTATTTATTTTTTAAAAAGTTAAAGCTTATTTTTTATTGAAAAAAATTAATAAATATATCAAAATTCATATTTGTTGGTACTCTTTAAACATAAATTTATATTGATTTAAAAAAAAAAATTGAAATTTCAGTTCAGATGCACATTATAAATTTGTTTAGATTCACAGTGTGAAGAATATTAAGTCAACTTTACATTGTAAATTTTGAAAATTAAATTATATATAGTTCAGATTCACAATGTGAATATATACATGTATTGATTTTATAAAACTAGTTTACGAGTAATCAAAACGTTAAAATACTTTAAACTATATGGATTTATATTTCGATTTATATGTAAGTTTCACTTAATTTGTGAATGATCAAAGAGTTGAAATAGTTAGTCAGATTCACATTGTCAATGTTAAAATTGAAATATATATAGTTTAGATTCATAATGTGAATCTGAACTACTTGGGGTCTTTTTTAATCGATGATGATGTTTATTAATAGAGAAAACAAATTGAGATTTTTGTTATAATTAGTTTTTTTTTAGATAAAAATAAACTTAAATATTGAAATAAAAACAAAAAAACGAAGTGAGTTTTTTCGTTGTTTTTATATATCGACATTGATCTTTATGGAAATTTAATGAAAAATTATGAACA